AATAACATATCGAGAGAGAAGAATAGCATAGAGGGTGTGATAGGTGGGTTCATCATTCCAGCCTGGCCAATAGGATCGTGGGGTGCTTCAGGTCGCAGTCTGATTGGAGGGCAAAGAGATCAAAGTCTCTGCAAGGCCCGCCCCCCTCCCCCTTGCTCCCTGGTGATGGGAGCGTGCGGCTGCTGCAGCAGGTTCTCTGCCTCCACCTGTGAGCGGCCCCACCTGTGGCCAGGCCGACCCGTGACCGTGGGCCAGCGCCCGAGGCTCCTCGAGACCCGCTTCTCCACGCTGCTGCCGCCCATCGCTGGGCCGGAGGCTGGCGGATCGGTCGCCTTGCATGGCTGGAGTTGGATGTCCGATCCGGGCCTGCTTGTCTAAGCTCCTGAGCTGCTGACCGCTGGTGACCCTCCTGCTGCCTGCTGCTTGTGGGTGGACACTGCCTGCCCTGCCCCTAGGTGGGCGGCCAGGTAGATGGATGGATCATAACGTGCGATCTAGCTACCCAGCCAGATGACGGACACACAAACCACAGACTGCCGTCAACGCTCCACGCCAGTCACCAGGGTGAATCTTCGGGGCACAAACCTGAGCACAATTGTGAGGGAGGCAGAGGCCCGCCGGTGTTTCACCCTGTTCCACACGGGGAGGCACTGGGGCAGCACCCACTCCACCACCACCACCATCAATGCCACCACCATCAACAATAACAACAGCAACCTTTCAGGGAAGCGGGCCGCCTCATCTCTCTCCCTCCGGGCGGCTGGTGGGTTCAAACCAGGGACCTTGCTGTGAGCAGGCAGGGGTGTAAGTCGCTACACCGCCAGGGCTTCTGCTTGAAACAACGAAATCAAGGAAAGGGAACATTGTTGCTTCCTGAACGCAGCCTCACAGCGCCCCTTGCGGTGCAGGAGTGGAATCGCATCTTCTTTCCCCAGGGGAGTTCTGGTGGCAAATGGCTTGGGTTGCTGACCACTGGCCTGCAGTTCGCGACCCGCTGCCCCTCTCTGGGAGCATGATGGGGCTTTTCATCCCTCAGAAAGTGGCAGCCTGGGAGGCCCACAGGGGCCGCTCTGCCCTGTCCTGCAGGGTCACTGTGAGCAGGCATCTGCTCCATAGCAGTGTGTTTATCTATCTATCTATCTATCTATCTATCTATCTATCTATCTATCTATCATCAACTGCATATCTATCCATTAGCTCCTGTGGAGAAAGACCAGACGGTCTGCTCCTGTAAAGACTGACCGCCTGGGAGACCCCCAGGGGCAGCTCCGCCCTGTCCTGCAGGGTCGC